TCTCTGCGCCACCAGGGAAGTCCCTATTTTAAGATTCTTAATGCATATGGTAAAATTGCCCTCCAGAAAGGTCACAAGATCTATAATCCCACGAAAACTCTGAAAACTGTAAATGCTTTAATAAGTTTAACAACGAAACTCATTTGGTGGCTCACCCTGACCTGAATGGACACGAGGCTATTTATGGCTTTATTTATCCCACTTAGTATGAGTATTTGTACATTTCATGCAGACACATAAATGTATATATTGCCCTAGTTCCTACAGGGAGTGTTATATAATTTATACATCATGTTGCTTTTCAAAAATCTGAAAAATTCTAAATTCCAGCAACTTCTGTCCCCAAGAGTTTCAGGTAATGGATTATGGACCAGTGTTAATTTATGCTTCCCCCGGCGGTGTATGAGAGTGCCGTTTTCTTCATGTGCTCACCAATAAGTTGTTTTCATCTTTGCCAACCTGATTTTTAACAAACTTAAAGGAGGTGGGGCACTTTTCCCGAGTTTCGGACCATTTGAATGCCTCCTCGCTTAGCCTGTCAGCTGCTGTCAGTAGCTCTGAGCTCCTCAGCTCTGGCGCCCCTTGGGGAGGCCTTGGGCTTCTGAGCCTCTGCACATTCATGCTGCTGCTGAACACCTCTGCACCCCCGCTCAGGGACCACTGGCCCAAACTCCCCACATCAGCTCTTCCTCTGCCTTTATGGGAAGCTTCTCACCCTCTGCCTCCTGATGTCTGGTTATCACATCCAGCAGGCTGGAAGGGTCACCATTCTCTTCTAACTCATCCAGTTATTGGGTGGAGGAGTGGTCCCACAGCAGAGAGACAGGACCCCTGGTAACACCATTACTATAGGAAGTTGTCTTGTTTTCAGGAGGCCTACGTCTCTGGAGGGGGTTGCTGGGTCGGTGTCGATTCTACTGAAGCCTCACTCTGACCATAACCCACACCTCTGTCACTGAGTCTGACCCACCTTACCAGAGTCATTCTGCACATGGGGTTATTTTTTCTACCACTGTCATTTATACCAGTCCAAATGACCATGAAATTATAGATAGAGCCGTTCAGGGAGACTGATCCCAGCTGTCTGGCCCCATCACCTGATATCGCTGGGGTCCAGAGGGCTGGAGGAGAGCCAGGAGGCTGGCTCAAAGGAGCACCTGGGGGGAGGTACTGGGAGCAAGGTATACCAGCAGGAACATGACACTGATGTCCAGGACCGTGGACCATCATAGCTGCCCCAGGTATCTAGAAGCTGATGGCTATGCCTGCCTCACTAAAACACCTTTGAAGCAGAGGATCAGCCCCTGGCTGACGCGTGCAGATGCCTGCCTCCGGCCCAAGCCCAGAGCCTGTCATGGAATCACCCGCAGGCTAGACCAAGGTATCAGGAACACAATCGTAGGGGCTCCAATCAGAGATGCATCCCAGAGAGCACTGCTCGAGCCTGGGGAAGGGACATCTGAATCCCGATAAAGCACGTCCCTGAGAACCTACAGAAGCAGCTGCATCCAGTGTAGACAGGAACAACCAAAAAAAAAAAAAAAAAGAGTCTTGACGCAGAGCCTTCAAGAAGACATGTGCAGTCATCCATGCCCTCAGGACAAAGCGTATCTGATGGCCCAAGACCACGTAAGCAGGCTTTGGGAAGTGGGCCAACGGGATATGCGGGTATTTCTAAAAGCAGTGTATTCTCCTGGCTCTTAATCTGGGATACTAACTGGGTTTATACATTGGTCCTAGCACTTCGGTAAGCTATGTAAATTTTCTGTGCCTAACTTTTCTCATCTATAGAGTGGGGATAGTTATTAGGGTCAAAAGAGATCGTATGGGTAAGATACGTGAAACAGTGCCTGGTGCGTGGTAAGCGCTCAATAAATGTAAGCTGTTGTTGTTGTTATTGTTGTTTTATTGTTACTTTGAGTGGTTATTAATATCATACTAGATGAAGAGTAAAAATGTCTTTGATTCGGAGCCTCAAAGCTCGCTATGGAAAGCAGTAGAGAAAAGAACAAGAAACAAAGAAGGTGTCATTATCAAGGCTGGAGTTCTGAGTGCCAGACCACAGGAAATCTCTAATTTCTTCTGGTTAATAAAATTCATATGAGATGATACAGAAGAAGGGGTTGAGTCCCAAGACAACAGAAAGGGAATACACAGCAACTGAGGGGACTGCAAGGAAACCCACCAGGACCCTGGTGGCTGGGCAGGCGAGCCCTTAACCTACAGATGGAACTGCTGCCTGCAATCCCGGGGATGTGCAGGGGGAGGGTTGCTGGTGGCATAGGACAAGCCATTAAGAGGGCATGAGCATATGCAAAAAAGAGTAAGTTTAGAATGAGAACTCTTCTCTAAAACTGCAAAAGTTAAAGGCACTTAGAAAAAGTTGGAAGACTGAAAGGTGTTAAAAGAGGGCAGAGAGCTGAGGCATCTCCATCTTGCACGGGAATGGTCTTAGCAGGTGAAGTCTTTCCCCGAGAGAAATATGGAAACAAAGATAAAATGGATTCAGTGCTCAGTGTATCAGTGAAATGTCACAAGTCTCCATCATTTTTGCCTCTCCATGGCCAACCCTGAGCCCCACCCAGAATGTGCCTGGGTTGGGAGGGCTGGGACCTGTGGGCTGAAGCTTCCCCCATCATGGAGAGGCAGTCAGCCTGGAACCCTGGGGAGGGGGCTCTGGGAGGTGGGGGGCAGTGGTGGGTCTGGACCAGGAGGGGCTCAGGGCTTGTTTAATGAACAAGCAGCCACTTGATCAATTTCAGGTGTTCGTTCTCCACTCTGGGCAGCAGGTCTAGGCTCTGTGTGGACAGCCTTGCCATTCACCCACATCCCATGAAAGCCAGCCACAGAGACAGAGAAGTGTCTGTGGCCCGCTTACCAATTTTATAAGTGGCAGGACTTGACTTGTTGTTCTATAAATGTCAATTATGCCCACCCTTGGTAAAATTGGTAAGAAACATAACACCACAAAAAGGAGGAGGCTCTGATTCTGAAGAGATACCCACAGTGGCTCCAACCCACCAATTTTAGGATATAAAAGACCTTCTTAGAGTTAAGGGCATATCATCAAAGAGTTGCAAAGGATTATTTCAGGTTAACAAAATCCCTTTAGGAATTTCCAAGCTAGAGTTCTAAAATAAAATGGTGGGACTTCCCTGGTGGCGCAGTGGTTGAGAATCCACCTGCAAATGCAGGGGACACGGATTCGAGCCCTGGTCCGGGAAGATCCCACATGCCACGGAGCAACTAAGCCCTTGCACCACAACTACTGAGCCTGCGCTCTACGGCCCGCGAGGCACAACTACTGAGCCCACGTGCCACAACTCCTGAAGCCCGTGCACCTAGAGCCCGTGCTCTGCCACAAGAGAAGCCACCGCAATGATAAGCCCACGCTCCACAACGAAGAGTAGCCCCCGCTCATCACAACTAGAGAAAGCCCGTGTGCAGCAACGAAGACCCAATGCAGCCAAAAATAAATAAATAAATAAATTTATTTAAAAAATAAATAAAATGGCAAAAGGGAGAGGGACACAAAACATTACTACTTATTTTCTATGGGTGTGGGTGTACACATATGAATACATGCACACGCAAATACTAAAGAGTGAGTATTTGCTGAACATTAATTCAATTTGATCTATCACTATGTATATGAACACAATATATAGAGAAAAAGGACTCTGGGAGCAAATATACCAAAAATGTCAATAATGGGATTGTGCAAGGTAGGATTCAGGTGATCATTTTCTTTTTTGAATTTTTCTCCATTTTTCAAATTTCCAATGTTTTGGGTTTTGTTTTCGTCTTTTAGAGAAAATGTTAGATCTCAACGCCCTTGACCTTGACCTTGTACCTATGTATCCACCTTGTCCCGAGCAACCTCACGTGAGCCATGTGTGAGGAAATACAACAACTAAGCCCAAAAAAGTCCTGCCGTGTCTTTCTCCCACTCTGATTGCTCACAAAACAAAAATGAATTTTTCCATGGTAACCTACAGCTGCCTCGGTTAGACACAGAGGCCACTGGCAACTTTTAAGTAGCAGCTTCATGCCCTGCTCCTCTTCATGTATACAACTCGAGAGAAAAGTCGGGAAAAGGTAGAGCACACTGTTGTGACTACGTCGGTTCAAACTGGCCATGGTTATCTGGCTGGTGAGATCAAAGATGACTACTATCTTTTTTCTTTTCACTCTTGTTATAATATGAATTTTAAAAATAATAACATGTATTGGTTATAGAGCCATATGAAAAAAAATAGTTTTATTTTAGGGGGGAGAAAAAAGTAAAACCTCGTTGCCTCTCTATGCCCTCAGGAGAAAAATTCAATATCTTGACACAGCTTATACGGCCCCACGTGATCTTGTCTCTGATTATTCAGTGACATTTTAAGTATTTGGTTGAACCATATGATGTTGCAGTTTTTCTTAGTCAAAAGTGGTCAGTTATTGGCAACTTTATTTGCTTGAACTCACCCAAGACCCTTATTCTCAACCCGATGCTGCTTCCTCGGCCTGCAACACCCAACCCCTGCCCACCCCCATCTTTCTCTACCTCCCCTCACCACTTCTGCCTTGCTAACTCCTGCCTTTTCTTCAAGTCTTCTGGTCTCTCTGTCATTTCTTCCAAGAAGCTTTGGATTCTGGATTAGGCACCCCTCCTATGGGCTTCCCAAGCATCTGTCCTCATTCACTCAACAGATCATTATTAAGCACCCATTACATGCCCACCGAATTCCAGGCAGTAGGGACACAGTAATGACCAAGTCAGTGACCCCTAGTCCTACTGTACTGTAGTCCTATCGGCTTCTTATTTCTAATCTCCACTAAACCCTGAACTCTTCTAGGTCAAACTGCATGTCTTGTACACCATGAAACAGCCACAGCTCCATGTACCTGACACATAATAATCACATACTCATTGAATGAAAAATAAATGAATTACTCAAATTTATCAAAGTAGTATTTAACTGATTTTATTTCTCTTTCTGTTCCAGTTTTTTTTTTTTTTTTTTAAGGTTATTGCTCTCACGATTTATCTTCTGACAAAAGGAAACAGCTGATAAAAGAAGCCCTCCTTTGTTCTGGATTTCCTGGCCGGGTCGCGCAAGTCCTGTTTGTTTTGACCGCCTCTGGAGTGCTTGCTGGGTGAGGTCAGGGAAGGGAAGGAGAACGCCGCCCGCCTGTTGTTGGAGCCACAGGAAGCCAGCTGCAAGCTCCGCTGTGTGGAGAGGAGGCGGGGGTTTGGGAGAACAAACCCCAGCCTGAGGAGAAGTGTGTCCTTAACGCCTATGCCAGCCTCAGGACCTGCCCAGCAAAAGCAGGCCATACATATTCAGGTCCCAGAATTGGAGGGCACCAGGGAAATAAAGACAACAAACAGAGTCAGCACTTGCGAAGATCACAGAGCCAGGCAACAGCAAAGCTGAGGGTCCAGCCCTAACTTGCGACCCCAAAGTCCTTGCGTTTTCCTGGAACAGAGCTGGGGGCAGGGTGGGGGGTGGTATCTAAAACTCATAGCTCCTGGCTGCCATTCAAACTACATGACTTTGGGTGATCAACCCACCCACCGTTATTCACTGAATACCTATTATGTTCCAACACCTGTCCAGGTAGGCTGTAGTGGGAGAGGCAAATTCCCACCCTTGGAAATCCCCACGGTGGGAGTGATATGATTTGTGGCGTCCATCAAGTTATGCAACTCACCTGGGTGAATCAGAGTCTGAGGCTCTGGAAGCCTTTGAAGGAGGAGGTGGCCTCTTCAGCCTGCCCCTCCCAGAAGCTCTGAGTTCAGTCCTTCCAACCTGAAGCATAGGCTCTGCTCCCTGAGTCCCGCCTCCTCATGGTGGAAACTTTTACTTGTCTGAAGCATGTAGGAGTCCTGAGAACCCAGACAGCAGAGCAGAGGGGAAGGGAATACCCCAGTTGGCCATCTACAGTGGGCCAGGCCCTGGGTCAAGGCCTAAACACGCTATGTCCTTTCATCCTCGATTCAGTTCTTTACTGATTAAGAGACTGAAGCTTTAAAGAGAGTGGAGAGGACTGAGTTCTGGAGTGTCTGCTGTGAGCCCCCCAGGACTGTATTGCTTCCTTAAATTCATTATGCACTGGCACAGGGATCCCAACCACACCTTCTATAACAAGTGGTCCAAGGCACTTCAGTTTGTCCATACTGGACAGCACGGATTTTGGAGAACACTTCCATCATCTCAGACAGTTCTATTAGACAGCAGTGAACTAAGCCATGAGAGCAGGCAGCTCAGAAAAGCCCTTTTCCACCCCCTGCATCTTCTACTCTCATCCCTTGCAAAAGTGGTCGTGGAGAAGGGGATGTTGCAGCTGCTCAATAAATATTTTCAGAATAAATGGGGAAGATCTGGTCTGAAAAGCAAGAAGGAAGTGGCTGAAGAGGTGTGAGTAAGCCCGATTTAATTGAGAAAGGCTCACTACATGGTGGAGAGCTTGGGCAGACCGAAAGGTCCTTCCTTCGTCACCCATCCTCACCCATGAAAACACAGTAATGAATGGTGACATAATTTATTGGAGCAATAAAGTCCATACCTACCCGTCACTTCTTCAGATGCCTCATGTCTGACTGTGGGCATTTGCAGTAAAGCATTCCATCCGGACCAAACGGTGGTTAGCTCTGATGCGGGCAAGAGCGCCTGGTTAAAGTGAGAGCTAGGATCCTGGAGTTCCTGGAACCCAGTTCCTTTATGCTACTGATGGGGAAACTGAGGCCTCATCTATGGTCACACAGCTAGATGGAGGCAGAGCTGTTCTCCTGCTCACTTGCCACCTGGAATTCAGGCCAGCGTGAGAGCAGACGCTCCTTGTCAGGACAAAGGAGAAGGAAACTCAGGTGGCCAGAGAGCCAAGACTGAGATCAAGTTGATGAAGAAACCAGGAACAAAATAAGACAGTGGGTTGGGAACAACCCCAGAGCGGTAGGGTCGACCAGACGCACACTAAGAAGGGGACGGCAATTGGAAGGAAGATCCAAGTCTGGAGCATTCAGTATTGGTGAGGAGGATGGAAATGGTCACTCTTGTACACTGCTGGTGAGACTGCATATTGGTGGGGCCCTTCAGAGGACAGTTTAACATTGTCTAGTAGAATTTAAAATGTGTATCCCTGTGACTCAGAAATCTCACTACTTCTCTAGGGAAATATTTGCACATGTGCACAGAAATAGACATAAAACTTCATGGCAGCATTTCCTACGATCATGAGAAACTAGAAAAAACTTAGATGTCCAACCACGGGGATGGATCCATCGAAAGCAGTGTATCCACGCTAAGGGAATACTACGAAGCAATTAAATAGAGCATGGAGGGTCCATCCAGGGCCACCACATCACACACCATATCTTTGAATGAATTAGAATAGTCAGAGAAGGACAGCCTTCTCTTTGGGTTAAGCTAGCGGAGATGGGCTGGGTTTCAGCCTCCCTCATGCCCTCCAGGCTGTGTTACCAGAGAGCGAGCTCTGAGTTCAGTCCTTCCAACCTGAAGGACCAGGTCAAATGGAAAAACAAGTTGTAGAAGAGTGTGCAAAACAGAATGCCTTTAATAAATTTAAACACACATTCTTTATGTTTTCTATGGGGACATAAATACATAGCATGCATGTTGATGAGTAGAAAAAGAACTAGGGGGTACACGTCTTCCTGCAATAGCTATTACTTCTTTAGTGGGAGGGTGGCACTGTTTGTCAAAGTGGTCTGTAATCTTATCCAAAGTGTTTTGCTTTAATGTTTCACAAGGAGAATGCATTTCTTTATCATTTGTATAATTAACTTTTAAATCAAAAACTAAAAAATGGAAAGTTGGGAAGTTGGGTTTTTGGGACAGAAGAAGAAATGTATGTCATCCTAGGTGACACTCACACCACCATCACCACTAGATTTAAAGGCATCTTGCTCCATGGGCCAAAAACCCACACGAATCCCTTCTGGACCTCAATTTGGAACTCAAGTTTCTAGGGTAGAGAGTGACAGAGTGCTCACGTTGGATGAAAGAGGTTTTTAAAAATCAGAGAAAAGTAAACCTAGTGAGACTCTCTCTTTTAGGTATGCTTGCAGGCAACCTTGGTGAGTTCAGCCTCAGAAATCCCAGCTTTGTCCTCAAGACTGGAAAATAACTGGAGAAAGTGGGGGAAGGAAGTGGGAGTCTCCCCTTTCCCCATCTCCCAGAAGCAGCATTTCCCCCAAAGCAAGGAGTACCTCTGTGCCCCGGTGGAAAATGGTGAGACAGTCAACACAGTCAACTTAAGCAAGATCAAAAGAACCATCCGATGACTTTGGGGGGCTTTATCACAGTGAAAAGAAGGTGAGGGAAGTTGACTCGTCTTGAAATTGTTTTTTAATGGTTTGATTTCACGGTCTTCTTGTTACTTAAGTACCATTCATCTTCCTTTAAATCTCTAGTGGGAGCTTCATATGGCTTGGCAGCTCCATTTCCTCTCAGCCTCCCAGATGAGACAAAAGGTCCACCGGTCACTTATCTAGGCAAAGCATATTCGGAGCCATTGGAACCTGCATCACCTGGCAGGCTGTACTGAACCAGAGAGAAATCAAGGCCCCCTTACCACATGAGAGTTGTGTAAGTTGACCCCTTCTTCCCATCCCTCCCCTACTGCCCAGTGTAGACCAGCTAGAAACATGAGCGATGGGAAATAAGGGAAAGGAAGACCATGTTTTCTCTCCCTACTAGTCCTTTGAGCCACAAGTCTAGGCAGCAATGGCAGAGGAGAAATCACAGCACTGGATAGAAGATTGGTGTTTTTATTAGGACCTGGCTGTATTTAATCACTGAAAGTGGCCAGAAAGTTGTGGACTGTGCCAAGATAAATTAAAGATCAAGAGAAGCAGATATCACAGAGCACAGCAATGGGGAGGAAAAACATGTCTCATGTTTCTATCTCTACCACACTGAGTGTTCCCAATGAACCACTTACATTTGGATTCTCTTAGTTGACCTATTTTTCCTAATCCTTTTGAGCCATTCAAAGCTCATTTTTATGTATCTTTTTAGGGATGAGAAACGAAACCAGAGCTCTCTGTCTCTCCCTTTGCTTTGCTTATATCTGCTTGGTGCGTTCTCTCCCACAGCAGACAGGCTTTCTCCGAGTGGTAGAGAATAAGGCCACCTTCTTCTTCAACTCCAACTCCTTTCTGATCCATAACCCCTGGGACAGGGCCCTTCTCCAACTCCAACCGAAAAGTCTCAGAGACGGACCCTGATTGGTCTTGCTTGGGTCACGTGATCCCCCAGCAAGGGGTCAGAGTCTTGTAACTGTCACACCCCCTCCCAGGTCATGTGTTTGGAGTTGGGGATGTGCAGTTCGTCAGAGCAGGGATGGGGCATGCTGGAACAAAGTACTGAGCGGGGCCCACGTGATTCTAATGCGCATCTTCAGTAAGTATAGCCTCCATTCTTCTGACATCTTGGAATTCTTGTCTCTCTACTTACTTTAAAAGGATAGTTTAAATCATGTGAGAGTTTAAAAAAAAACAACAACTCCTTTTAACAGAATCAGGTGATTATGAAACACAATAAAAATGAGTGATAGAAATTTCCATATTTTAGCTTCCTCCTCCCTAAAAGTTATAAAGGCCCATTTGTAACAAAAGAACCTCCCTTTTGCCGTCCTTTTTCTTTCTTTTGACAATAACCAGGGCTCTTAGAAAAGACTCATTCTCTTATTCAGTGAAATTTTATCCACTTATTCATATTTCAAAATATTTGGAAAAGTTAAATTTAAGTAATTTTCTAATATCTAAGCAGGACCTTAAAAAGAATCAATTGCTCTTCAGTCCATTCCATAGACCAGAGACCTCAAGTTTGGTCTTTAGTTCAAGGTAGCAAAGATTAACTACTAGAACTTCAGGAACTTTGGAGATGTACAGAATGGCATATTGCTAAACATCCCTCTTGCTTTTTGCAAGACTGATCTCAAAAGCTATGTCCTCTCTGACCAGCCACCCATTCCAACCTAAGTGGAACTGATCACGCCCACTTCTGTGTCCCTACCATTGTTCTGAAGTCTACCAATCATAACAGGAAGACTATCATGGTGGAGATAATGGGGGCTGTTTATTTATCCCTCTCTTCCTTCCAGGCTGTGCATTTCTTAGGTTCGTGTCTGATTCACCACTGTGTCCTCTACATGCATTTGAGGGTGTGGCACAGTGGCAGTCTCTGGGGTGGATTGATGGATGGATGGACGGATGATGAAGTTCCTCTTGACGCCGAGAGTGTAGGGGATTCATGAGTATGTGAGCCTATGGATGTGCTAGTGATTCAGGCCATTTTGATGTGGCATTTCCCCAAGACCTACAATGAGTGAATAAATGACGTCCCTGACTGCAGAGGACCCCATCATCAATCTTGTGCCACAAGCAGGCTCTCAAGGAGACCGAGTCACTTTGTCCATCTTTGCTTTAGTTGGTTGTACAAGGCACAGCTTGGAGTGTTCCTGTGTTTCCTCGGCGGCTGTGGACCGCACCCGCAGTGTTCACCTGTGAAGTCTCTGCCGGAGCAGAACCAGCGTGCTGCCCCCCCGCCCCCAGTAGTGCCAAGCCTCAGGGAATGCTGCCCTCCTGTCTCCCGCCGACAGCCAAGGCTCTGCAGAGCCTCAGAGGCGAGAAAGCAAAGCTCCCCAGAGGCCCAGTGCTCCCTGGCAGGCATCCCCAGGGATTCAGGGCAGGCAGAGAATTTTCTCAGGGGCGGCCTTCCCTCCCACTTGACTGTGGCTCTGTGCAGGGCATGGAGAGGGAGTGGGGCACTGTGTGCAAGGCCGGGGAACCAGAGGAGGGCTGACACTCCTGTGAGACTGCTCGGCTCCCCAGCTTTCAGCCCTGCACAGAATCTCCACATTGCTTCTCCTCCAAGTTCTCCAGAAGCAGTGGTCTCAGGAGGTACAGCCTGGACACCCCCCCACACCCAAGGACCTCGGGGTGGGCGGTGCCCTGCCATGCTGAGGCCACGCTGATTTGTAACTCAGCTGAGTTGACATCAAAGCCATCACTGTGCTCATCTAAGTTTTCTCTCCCTGGGCAGCTCATCCACAGCTGGAACTAACCACCCCAGTGCAGACCGTACCCACTCTGAGCCCGCATCTTCAGGGAGGAGCTGCCACTGGGGCCTCCCACAAGCATCCCAAACTCAGCATGTCCCAAAGCTCATCTTCCCCCAAACCTGCTCTTCATCCTGCCTTGGGCAGCGTCACGTTCCAGCCAGAACCGTGAGAGCTGCTCTCCCCACAGTCCCGCTCCTGCACCCAGTCATTCACAAAGCACAGCTGATTCTACCTCTCGACTCACTCATACGCCTTCTTTCCTCGTTCTCCCTCTCCATTCCTGTTGCCCTGTTTGGTCTAGGTGGGTCATCTCTTCCCTGAGCAACTGGGGAGTCCACTGCAGGTCTCCCTCACCCCCTGCCTCCTGCCTGACTCTATGGCCCTCTACAGACACCTGTGGGTGTACAATGTCTTCCCTTGTGGTTTTCCAGAAACGTAATTCTGATCCTGCCACCCTCCTGCTGAAAATCTTTGGAAGGCTTGCCCTAGCTTCCAGAAAACTCCAATTCCTCTGTGCTGGGCAGAAGGTTCTATTGATATTTGACCCCTCCTTTTCTTTTGAGCTCACCTCTGGTCAGTCAAATCCCAGGGAGAATGATAATTAGACAAATCAGTCACAGGGAGAGCAAAAGCCTCTGGGCCCATGGCTTTGCCCATTTTAAAGGTCATCCAGGCAGAGGCAGCCATCCATGCGGGGGAGGCTGGTCAGAGTTGAAGGCTCCCAGCTGCCACTTGAAAGGGCAATAGCAGTTGCCCCAATACGCTGTTCATGCTCCTGCACCCCTTTCAGGATTCCAGGTTCACAGGAAGCTTATGTCTCTCTCCTCTGCCCACATCTGAGTAACGGGGTAATGATTGATGTTCGCTGAGCTCCTACTGAATGTTCCAGGTACCAGGCTATGCCCTGTCTCATTTAATCTTCACAGCACCCCTGTGACGCAGTACAATCGTTACCCTCATTTTACAGATGACCAACTTGAGTCGCAGAGGTCAAGTTGCTTGCCCAAGGTCACATAGACAGAGAGTGGCAGAGCCGGGATTTGTAATCATGGGTATGCCCTACACTGCCAGGCCATGATGTTTCTTAGGTTCAGGAAGCCAAAGCTCTTCCGAGAGCAGAACGGGGAGGGCGATCTACAGCATGGTGTTTTATTCTTTTGTGTATACTTCTAGCACGGGTAATCAGCAGCTGATTTGGCATCCCTTCTGAAAAGTTGCTTTTGCCCCCTTTGTGGATTTAGGCATCCCGTTGAACAGAAAAAATGCAGAAGTATCTTGGTGGTGAGTTGCAGCTTGGCCTACTGGAAGATCTTGTCTTGGCCAAATTTGGGGAGAAAAAGAGGAAGCTCTACTTGGTCACTCTGATCTCGGAGGCTGCAGGCAGGGAACCTCAGTTCAGAAAGTGACCTCCCACATGCCCAGAAATGAGTTTGATTGTGGATTTAAACCCACTGCCGTGGTTCCACCAGGGACAGGAGGAAGTGTGCTCTGCATCCCAGAGATGGCAGCTGAGAAGTGTGTGTCCTGTGTCTCCCCTTCAATGTGAAGAAAGCCTCGTCATCTCTTACAGATGATAGGAGGTGAGACCAGAGCCCACTGGATGCCACAGGGGAGGTCATGAGAAGCACTGTATTAGGCGTGAAGACCAGCACTTAGGAGCCGAGATGAGATTTCACAGACATGGCTGATCCCTTAAAAAGTGAATCTCTCAAGCTTCCTGTCTCATCCTTATGGCTCTTCTACATCGATTTGGCTTTGGATTTAAGGTCAGTGAAAACATACAGCATAGGTTATTCAGAAACTGCCTCTAAGGAGGTGGCTGCTTCCTTCACAGTGGAAACATGGAATTTGACCTGTGTTCTTATCCCATCCTGGGCAACACAGAGGAGCCAGGCTTGAGGATTGGGGGTGCAGGAGCGGACCCTAACTGCGGGGCAGTCCACGCAGGGTGGATGTGTATTCCTGGCATTCAGGAGAATGATTTATGACTTCATTTTATGTTTTAATGCTTTCTGTCAGAATTCCAAGAAGCCATAGTGACTGACGGGCAGCACAGAAAGAGGAAGAATGCTGTAGTGGAAACAGCCCAGATGAATGTTTAAAGTGAACAAGCAGTTGTTCAGCAAATGTCTTCTGAGCACCTACCATAGCCTCCTCGCTGATTCCCAGGGAAGCAGAGTTCAGAGCCACCCCCCCCCCCACCTTGAAGGACACTGAAGGCTCTAGCAATGCCTGACCTCTCTGGCAGAATGAAGGTTGACAATCCTTCTAACCGGGGTGTGGGGAGAGAAGAGCGTCTTAGAGGAGCCCTGGTTCATGCCAACCCCACCCCAACCAGCAGTGAAGCTTCAGAAAAACTGAGCCAATGAGCTCACCCAGGGCAGAGAGAGACAAGACACAGCTCTTTGCTCTTTCCGTGTTCCAAATCCTGCACAGCCCCGAGCACACACCAGTTAGACGTGATTCTGGCCCCGCTGACGTCTGCCTGACCTCATCCCTCTGACACCAAGGTGTTCTCCCCACAGGCTACCCAGAGCCTCCTGCAAAACAGCCGAGAAGCCCCGCCTGAAGGAGCTTGGTGTCCATGGCGGGCCCTCCGCCCATTTCCACTCTCTACTCCAGCCTCTCCTTTGAAATAAATGTATTCAGTACAGCGGTACAAAATGGATGAAACAGTTGTTTTTAAATGATTTCATGCCCCTCCCAAAGGCACTCTTTTGTTCTTCTGTTTAATTTTTACATCACCTTGGCAATAACAAACTCGAGGGCGGATTCATCAAAGGAAACTGATAATTGCTAACTGTACATTTTATTTGGTTCATTATTTTGTTAACACCTGATTCCGAAAAATACTCCTTCTGAACAAGGTGGAAGCGGCATAAAAATGATTAGCAACAAAGAGATCCTTTTTTGCATAGAAATAGGTTCATTACCTGCCAGCTGCAGTAAGTGTGTGGGACTTGCTTTGTGGCAGCCAACAACATCTATCAAACACTTTCCACCTGCCTCCAGGTAAACAAACACCTTATAACCTAAGGGCTTGTTTCTGTTTTGCTTTGCAGAAACGTACCCGTATTGTCCTGGTTGGGATTCCAGATGGGTGGAAAATAGTACAGTACCAGGGACATGGGGTCGAAAAGTGGGCCTGGGGCAGCCCCGAAAGGGCAACAAGGTGTAGGATGTCCTAAGGGTTGGTTGGGGGGAGCATACTGGGAGACCCCTGAATCACTGAGAGCAGTAGAAAGTGTGTGGGATTCATTCCACGTTTATGAAGTACTTCCTATGCGCACAGTCAGCAGCAGAATTCGAATGTATGTAAGTTGTGGGTAGTGGGTACCCGTGGATGCCTCCCAACGTTTTTCAATGCCTTTACTGTGTTTGGGGAAATTCCCTGGTTCATGACTGCCCCCCTCCCGCCCCCACCCAATGCAAGAGAGAAGCTATTTAGAATGCCTCTTGCCCAGCTGCTATTGCTTCTCAGGTGCAGGCACGAGATAGCCTTCACCAACCTGATACCCACAGGAGACTTCGATTGGGAAGCTAATGCCATGAAGAGTTTGGTGGTGCGCGGAACCCATTCAGCTGAGCGAAGCGGCAGAGTATCCAGTTCCCTGTGACAAAGGTTCCAAGGAGCATCCCAGCCCCAGACTCGGGTACGTGAACGTGATATTTGTGTCCAGGGATGTATTCTATTTGTGATAGAATCTGGCCACTGTTTTTTGCCGCTGGGCGTTCAGGTTTGTTCCTCTGGACCTCTCAGATTCTCTGAGTTACCTGATAATGCTTGAACAAATTCCTTTTCTGCTGAAACCGGCTAGAATGAGTTTCTGACATTTGCAGTTGGGAACCCACTGTGCTCATAGCTCTATATGCTGCAAATGACAGAAGCCCAAAGGACATTTGCTGGGTTGTGAAACCGAAAACATCCAGGAGTATGTAGCTTCAGATATGGTTAGATACATAGACTAGGTCCAACTACATAATGTGCAAGGCCCAGCACAAAATGAAAGTGCAGGACCCTTTTTCAAAAAGTATTACGAATTTCAAGTTGACGATGTAAGAGCATTAAACTAAGGGTCCTTCTAAGTGCAGAGCCCTATGTGACCGCACAGATCGCATTCCCACAAAGCTGGCCCTGCTCCAGGACCCCTGTGTTTCTCTCTCCACATCTTGCTTCTGTCAAGTCCCACCTGACCCCTTGCCTGCCCACGCACTCCAATTTTCCAGAGGGAAAGGCTGGATTCACACAGTTAAGACTCGGAGACCAGTTGTACCCACAGTGTGCCTAGGCACGCTAACCACCAGCACACGGATTAGCCGTGGTATGTGGACTCTGGTCTTAGGTCAGGCCCCTGAAAGTAGCCTCTGCTGTGAGGATCCCTGTGCAGGGGATTTCTAGAGGAAGTGCTCCCAGGGGAGACCTGTAGGGAAGCAGGGAAGGGGAGGAAACTAAGCAAAGGTGCGTTCCCCCGCAGAGACCCTCGAAGGGGCCTTGCCTGATCCCATAAGGCAGGGATCCCCAACCCCCAGGCCGCGGACCAGTCTGTTAGGAACCGGGCTGCACAGCAGGAGGTGAGTGGTGGGCGAGCAGGTGAAGCTTCATCAGCCGCTCCCCATTGCTCCCCATCACTCACATGACCGCCTGAACCATCCCTTCCCCCCGTCTTCCGTGGAGAAATTGTCTTCCAGGAAACCGGTCTCTGGTGCCAGAAAGGTTGGGGACCGCTGCCGTAAGGGGCTCTAGAGTGTGAGTGATGCCTCAGAGTCGTCTCCACCTGGCATTTCAATGCTCCCCGTGTGCACCCATCAGTCATTGATTGAGGGCCACGCCCCGTGTGGGTGGGCACATCTCTTCCTAGGCACTGCTGGCTCTCTATAGACGGTCCCTATAGACGGAGGACCAGCTTCTAAAAAAGAAACACAGGTGCTAGCTCTTGGAGGTCAACACCAAAGTGAGGGGAGGGGTCCCAGGCATTCTAAAGCCCTGGATTCAATGACTTCCCAACATCCTGACCCTACCTGCAGCTGCCCTGAGAAAATGCTGAGGTACACGACCCCAGAATTCCACTGGGAATGTTTGTGTGTGATCCCTCCTGCCAGTGAATCAGGAAGTAGCAGGTGACGGGCAAGTGGTGACCAGAAGACTATGTGTATTTCTGAGCTTTTATTTACCCTAACATTTTAAAAATTAATCTTAGGCTACGTAAGTAAGTAATACAAAACTCAGATTCCCTATTTTGAAATGAATGAATTGCATAACAGTGTTTTGTAAGAACTATGTGAGCTTCTGAGTCTGTCACAGGAACAAATTTTGCACCAACTCTGCTCATCTATTTTGACACCTGCCCTTAGTCCCAGGTGATTCCTATTGGTCTTGAGAGATGCATATCATTAGATTCATTAAGGATGGGATCCTCTAAGAATAGGATTAATTATTAACAATCAAATATATGAATACAGTTTTATAACAGCTTTGTTGAAGTACAATTCACATACCATTCAATTTCCCTATTTAAAGTGTACAATTCAGTCATTTTTAGTATATTGATAAAATTGGGCAACAATCACCACAATCAATTTTAGAAAGTTTTCATCACTCCAAAAAGAAACCCCCATACCCATTAGCATTCTTTATTCCCACTAAGGATTTGGAAAAACCTTAGTCCTAAGCAAAAAATATTTAGGGCTGGTGGACCATCCCTCTCGTTCCTAATTTCAGGAACCATCCAGAAAGCCCTCTGGGAACAAATAGCTCTGGAAAATCCTCTGTTATCTACATGCACTTGGGAGAGTCATGACTTCGATTGCCTTTCTGACTGCCAGACTCAGGGACTGAGAAACAGAAGAAAGGGAAAGGCTATATCAACAGAAAGAAAGGGAAAGGCTGTATCAACTCAACCAAGCCATGCCAGTAGGTCCGGCCCGGGTCCAGTCCAAGAGAAACGTGAACATTTGCATCCCCAGCTACCGTGAGAGCAGCAGTCCCCTCCAGCACACGAGGCAGAGTTATGGCCTGTTTCTTTCCTGAACACCGAGAGGACCTCAAGTCACTGCCTAAAGAGGTCTTGCATCTCCAAATTCCAGCTTGGAGAAAACAGGGCGTTCCTTACACAGGAAGCTGGCCATGATGGCTGACCCAGTTTATACACTTCTGTTCCAAAAAAAAAGCCGCCTTTTAGGAGAAGAAAAGGGTAACGGAGCACCCAGCTAAGCGTGTTAGAAAATCTTTAAGAAATAAATTGACAACGTTATTAAGGGATTTATGTCTGACAAAACATTTTTTTAAATTCTTGTAACTGAGACAAAGAGTTTAGAAAAAATTATCTATGAGCCCCAGGGTTATTAAGTCAATTAAACATATACCTGCATGTAACTTTGCTGTAATAAAAGTCCTGCCCAGAGTGTGGTGTTACCGAGTGAGGTACACTGAGTAAACACTCACTTGAAGACCTTTCCGCTGGAACATAAGAGTAAGGCAGTGAAAAGAATATATGTTCTGAACATCACATCGGCCCCATTAGGAGGGCTCTGTGATCACATTATTATGTGCTTTGTCTTCAGAGACTTCCCTGTCTTTTTCACCCATAAGCAGAAGAAGTCCTCTCCCTCTCATTATCAGGCTCCCAGGGCCCGTTCTCTCTGATGTGCCTCCCTCCCTCACTTTGGAGCTCGACTTCCTTGAGATCTGTCATTGTCACCTTTATTATAATGGAGTCTTACAATCCCACAGCTAGTGACACTCAGGGGAGGAGTATGCTGATGAGGAAGGTGGGGATGCCTGGAGGAGACGTCTGTGATGGAAGTTTCCACAGAGGCAACACTGCAAACAGGCAGGAAGAATGAAGGTCTGGTAGGGAGATGGGCACTCCACCGCCCAATTTTCCTCCCGTGGTCTCGTGCAGGAAAAAGGAAGAAAGGCCGTGGAGGGTATCCATGAAAGGGGACCCTGTGTTACTTTAGTTGCAGCAGGCAGGAATATTCTCTTCTCAGGTAGAACAAGCAGAGTCTGGTACACACAGAGGCAGATGAGTAAACAGACAGAGGTGATGCATTTTCTTTGTGGCATCTGTGGGCAAAAGGAGCTTAAAAGGCCCGTGGGAGGAAGGAATGATAGCTGGTTTCCTTTTCTCTCGTTGAATAGAGCCTCTGATTCAATGGTAGGACAGTTAACCAGGCCAATAGAACATGATGGGCTTCTTTCATTCCAAGAAGAGACTAGCCCTCCATGGGTGTTACTTAACTAGAAGAAGGTCAAAGATCACTGAGTATGATTCACCCACATTTAGGGGGCAGAATTGACCTAGAATGTCATAAAAAAGCACCAAAAGTGCAAGAGCAGTATTTTTAGAAGCACACCTAAGGGATGGCCAAACAGAAAGGCAGCAACAAATCAAAAAAAAAGGTTTAATCCTTCTAATTTGTCCACTTTGGCCAAAACAACAGAATTTAATCAAGTTCATATGCAGATGTGATTTGGGTGACTTATTTAACACTCTATAGATGAATACAGATCAGGTCTGTCTATCTATCTGTCTGTCGGTCTGTCTATTTTTGGTATTTTTCTCCCTAAGAGTGAATAATTATCAAGACAAAAATAAATTTAAAATGTACACCGCAACATCCCGAGTTGCAAAAGGACCCCACAGATTTATAAAATTGTTTGTGGCACTCTCAATCCTTTTCATTACTTTTTGAGGCTGCAAGGAAAAACACACCGCAATCTTGAGGAGACATCCGGTCCAATAGCGTATGAAAATGGCACACAAGTTGCTCTGCCATTTTGAACAGAACAAAAGGGAAAAAATGAAGAGTTGTGGGAAAGGAAGAAAATGTACACTATCAGATGAGATAAACTATGGGCTCAGTAAGAAAAAGATACAGGGGAGCTATTGCAGGTAGAAAAAGGCTGCAGCAGGAAACTCTTCTGCTACTAAGGGTGGTAAAGGCCAACTTAAGAGGAAAGCCAAGAGATCTATAATCATCTACAAGAGGAAATAGGTTGGGGCAGTGAAATAGGACACCTCGCTCAAAGTAATCCAAGGGCAGTTTCAGGGTGATTGTGATTCTAGGAGAGACCACAGTGCAGGAGAAGCATGATGAAGGTAATAGTTGATGAATATCCACTAGGATAAATTCCAGTGGGTTAAAGATGCAAGCTAAAGGTTTTTTTTAAGATTTATTGGAAAACATGGAATTCTTCTATAACTTGGAACGGAGGAAAGCATTTCTTACTATGACTCAAAATACAGAAGAGACAAGAGAAGATTGATTAATTTGTCTACATAAAAAGTAAAACTTCTGAATGGCAAAAAAAAAAAAAAAAAAAGAGGAGAAGGAAGAGAAGGAGAAAAGAAAGCAGAAGAACAGAAAAAAAAGGACAACAAACTGGAAAAAATATTCATATTGCAGACAAAGAGCTAATCTTCCTCTTATGGAGTGATTTTTATAGAAATTGAAGAGACTAATAGACAAAAGATTTGACTATCAGTTCACAGAAATAGAACTAAAAATAGCTCAAATGAATGAATATGTGCTCAACTTCACTCACAAGAGAAATGCAAATCCAAATGACATTGCAATATCATTCATACAATTCCAAAATTTTGATGACAGGCTGTTCAATTGGGTTCTCCCAGAAGCAGGCCCTGAGATGAATATTTCAGTGTAGGTAGTTTATTTGGGAGGTGAGGGCAGGAAACACAGGTAGGGAAGTAAGGAGGAAAGGGAAAGGTGTTAAGAAGGGCGTGTTCTGAAGCCAAGCCTGGAGCCCAGTTGGAGAACCGTGGGGGACAGTGCAGAACACATTCCAGGGTTATCCCCTCTAAGAACGGGAAGCTGAGGTATTTATCCACCAACTCCCTTACCACCACTGGTTGATGGTTGCTTGTGGAGAATGAACTCTCAGGAGTTTCTGCCTTGTCCATCCCCCTGGCTCACACACAGGTCAAGCCTGTTTCCTGGAGCCAGAAAGAAGCCCTGGGGCAGAGTGGCAGCTGGTCTAGAGAAGACCTTCTAGCGGGTGTGGGTCAGGCAGGGCAGCATCTTTCCCCACACTCTCCATCAGTGAAGCTCCCAGGGCACAGGCTCTCTCTCATTGCTGGTGAGAACAGACACTGTTACAACACCTATCTATGGCAATTGGGAGTGCCAACTAGTTACTGGGAATCTAACAGTACCTAGTACTGATTCCGCCCTCCCGGTACATATACCCTTTGACTCAGCAGTCCCACTTCCAGGAATTTATCCTACAGTTAAGATTTGCACCTGTCGTAAATGACACACGTGTAAGATGATTTATGCAGTGCTATTTGTAATGACAAACTCTTGGAAACAATCTAACGTCCATCGATGGGAAGGGGAGAGTTAAAATGCAGCTTTTTAAAAAAGTATAGTTGCTGTACAATATTATATAAGTTACAGGTGTACGATATAGTGATTCACAATTTTTAAAGCTTATACTCCATTTATAGTTATTATAAAATATTGGCTATATTCGCCATGTTGTACAATATATCCTTGTAACTTATTTCTTACATGATAGTTGAACCTCTTCCTCCCCTACTCCTATGTTGTCCCTCCCTGCTTCCCTTTCCCCACTGGTAACCACTAGTTTGTTCTCTGTATCTGTGAGCCTGCTTCTTTTTTGTTATATTCACTAGTTTGTTGTATTTTTTTAGATTCCACATAGAAGCGATATCATACAGTATTTGTCTTTCTTCAGCTTTAAAAACAATTGAGGCAGTTCTCTGGGTAGTGGATGTGGTGAGATTTCCAAGATACGTTGTTAAGTGACAAAAGTAAAGTGCAAGAAGATTATACTATCTTTTGCGTAAAAAGGGGGGAGGGTAAAAGGAAAATAACACAAGGTCATGTTTGTTTACATATGCACAGAGAAAGTGGCGGGATACGGAAGAAATAAGAGAGCTAAGGTGAGGGTTGTGGTGATGGTAACTTGTGGATAGGGTGAAATATATTTAAAATATGTGAATCTATTATTTGCTTCAAAATAAATTTAGAAATGCTGATGAACGTGGAAATCTGAGGGGCATGGAATTATGTAGCACTTTTTTATTCCATGTTACATATTTCAGATTTGTTTGACTGTTGTACATGGTGCCTGCGTTGCTTTGCAATGTGAAAGGATACTGGAGATATAGTGACTAGATGCAAACTAGGGAGATAGGTAGACAACAGTCAAAAATACATTACGGGGCTTCCCTGGTGGTGCAGTGGTTAAGAATCCACCCGCCAATGCAGGGGACACGGGTTTGAGCCGTGCTCTGGGAAGATCCTACATGCTGCGGAGCAGCTAAGCCCATGCGCCACAACTACTGAGCCTGCGCTCTAGAGCCCGCGAGCCACAACTGCTGAAGCCCGCGCACCTAGAGCCCGTTCTCCGCAACAAGAGAAGCCACCGTAATGAGAAGCGCGCGCACCACAACGAAGAGTACCCCCCCCCCCCCCCCCGGCTCGCTGCAACTAGAGAAAGCCCGCGCGCAGCAACAAAGACCCAACACAGCCAAAAATAAATGAATTTATTTAAAAAAACACATTACAATGGAAATGCTTATCAGAGCAAGTGTTGAACTTAAGGAATAGAAAATGACTGGCTGGCTAAAGCAGAAAAAGAATGTATTGAAAGGCTATTAGATAATTCACAGAATCACCAGGAAGGTAGAAGCAACAGGCTCAAAATAAAAGCTGAAGCCCAAGGAGGTGAGGAAACAATACCCACAGAAGCATCTGATGAGGTCACTGTTGTCATCGCCCTCACTGCTCTCCCTAGGGGAGCAGGAAGTCAGGCCAGAAGGTTCAAGTGAGCCACAAAGATATGACAATTTTTAAATGTCAGAGTAAGGTATGGGGCAGGTCACCAGGCAGAAATGTCAAAGCAGATGACCCAGAACTGAGCGTAGTGAGGACGTGAAAGGGATGAGAGATCGAGGTTGGAGGCAGATCCTTGAAGAGAACGTCAGAGGGGCTGTTGTGGAGTCACTCCGTACCCAAGGCAGTGGCAGAGTGTTCTGGCAGGGGAGCTGCCCAAGAACCCACAAAAATGTCCACAACAGGGCCACCTTTAATCATTGGCCGGGCCCAGAGAGCAAAAGCCAGTTGACAACAGTAACTAGTCTGTTAAGAAATACTACGTTCCTCTTACCTTTCCTCATGGCCGCAACCCCAGAAGGGTCAAAAACAGCAACTGGGTGGCGGGGAGGACATGACGGTGTGAGGCAGGAGTCAAGCCACCCTCCTCGCAGCCCTAGCTGGGACGAGGGGAGAATTTTTACCTTCGACTGAAGATGGAAGTGTTAAATTGAGACCGTGTTTTGCAACGTAGTGACCAGAAAACTTGGTTAACTGACAAAGACCAGGAAAGTCACGGGCATTCATTTCATGTGGCATCCAATGGTAATGGTGGGACCACCCCTAAGAAGGAGGCTTAAGGGGGTGTCAGGTTGGGGTGGACAAAATAAAGTTGCTTTTAAGATTAACCATCGTAGATCCGGTAAAGTGACAGTTGCGTAGAAAGTGGACATTACTGCTGCAGTCACTGAAATAAGTAAACCTGCTTCTTCACGTCATGCGCTCTAGTTTCAAAGTCCCAAGCAGAGAATCTGATTGGCTGAGCTGAGGCATCATGCCCATGATCCAGCTCCACGGCCCATACGCTACCTGATGAATTCCCCTAATTTAGGAAAAGGGTTCAGAAAGTGGATGGATAAAAACTGACACATAGGCACTATAATGGGAAGCTGTGCATTCACATCTGATGGGTACATGCTGGAGGTGGGGTGGGGGAGGGAGGAGAGGATTCCAAGAAGAGTAACATAGACCCTGCCCTCAATGAAGCGGAGTCCTACTATTATAGCAACTGCAACCTACAAGTATCTCACTTTCATCTAAAACTTTATAGTTTAAAAAGTTCTTTTATGTCTATACATTTGCCCTTGACAACAACACAGTGAGATAACTCCCCAGTGTTCAACATGGTGCCTGGCATGTAGTAGGTATTCAGTAAATGTTTGCTAAATGGATGGAAAAGTAAAGGAATGTATGAGTAAGGAAGATTCAAATCCAGTGGCAAAAGTACAGCCTTTGCAGTTGGACAGTCTTGTTCAGCAATGCCCAATGGAACCGATGATGGCTCTTTATTCATGCTGTGCAATATGGTAGCCAACTGTGGCTACTGAGTGCTTGAAATGTGCTAATGAGACTGAGGAATTAAAATTTAATTTAACCTTATTTTATTTTAACTTTAATTCATTTAACTTTAAATAGCCACCCACAGCTAATGGCTACTGCACTGGACAGTACAGAGTTCAAATTCCAGCTCTGTGTATCTAGCTTATAACCTGAGCAAATGGATGTCACCATTTGGATTACTGTGACTCCCGCCACCACTGCTGTTTCTGCCACTACAGAGGGGATGCCAGGACTCAGAGAGGTTAAAGAGTCTGTCCAGGTCACTGAACTAGTGCACCACAGAGTGGGATTTGTGTTTCTTGTTTTCATTCCTGCAGTGGCTTCCTCATTACCAAGTTAAGCAAGGGCCCAAATACCCCAGAAGGGCATGAAGAATCGTCTGTGCACTGAAAAATGAGTCTTCCACGTATGTTTGTGATTAGTATTCACATTCATGTAGATTCCACAGTGACTAATAAAACATAAATTTGTTTAAAAGCCTTACTGATTTTATAGTAGCTTTTTGTCATCATGCAGATTCTTAATCAACAGATACTAAAAGTACAGCGACTATCATGTGAGGTATCTCAGAATCTTTTGACATTGAAAAGGCATCCTCATCCTCTTTGCTGAAAATGTCATCAACACCCCCTTCTTTTATTTATTTATTTTTGGCTGTCAGGTCTTGGTTGTGGCACGTGGGATCTTTCATTGTGGCGGGCGGGCTTCTCTCTAGTTGTGGTATGCGGGTTTTCTCTTCTCTAGTTGTGGTGCAGAGCCTCCAGAGCACGTGGGCTCTGTAGTTTGCGGCACACGGGCTCTCTCATTGAGGCATGTGAGCTCAGTAGTTGTGGCGCTTGGGCTTAGTTGCCCCGCGGCACGTGGAATCTTAGTTCCCTGACCAGGGATGGAACCCGCGTCCCCTGCATTGCAAGGCGGATTCTTTACCACTGGACCAGCAGGGAAGTCCCCAACACCCCCTTCTTAAAACATAGTTAAAGAAAGAAATGGGATACATATCCACATACACAAAAGAGTTAAATACCAAGAGAAGATGGTGATGCAAGAGACCCCACAAACCAGTATATATTCTAGGTACATTTGCTAGAAACACAAATGGTGGGTTTTTTTTTTTACCAAAGGGGTTTATTTGAACTCAGTTAATAGAAAAGATCAATGTGTAATTTCCAAAAGGGTCCTGCAACAATCAGCAACTATGATAAATAAAGCTGAGTTTAGTTTTAAAAAACAAATTGCACACATTCAGAATAGATGAACAATGGTTTAAGGCAGATTTTGTGGAAGATTTCATAGTTTTAGAAGAGTGGTCCTGAATAGTGGGAATATAACCCAAAAGGTGCCCAGGAGGATCTGTTGGGATGAGGAAATAAAATACTGCAACTCCTATACTGACTTTTTATCTTAAAAAAAAGAAGCCGAGCTTCATTGGTATTTCATATATGTATTGACAGCAGTACCTGTATATGATTTAAATAAATAGACATCTAGAGAGCATATGCTCAAAATTTTTTTTACTAACCAGACTGCATAATTTGAAATCTTTAGACATTTTTGTTTTAGAAGACAACAAGCTCAGGATAAACCTGTGGTATGATGTGATTATTAAAAACAAGGCAAAAGTTCTATCATCTTAGCTATGTTAGTTAGCTTTTCCCGTGTAACAAACCACCCCAGAGCAAGCTGGTTTACAACAATCATTTTCTACTATTTAGAACTTGCACAGTGTCCCTTGTTCTGATAATGTAAGAATAAGGGTTCTGAAAACCAAGTCTTACGAGGAAAGGTTGAGAGATTTGGCATCATGATGCTATGAAAAGAGAACATTCACAGGAAAGAGGAATATGTGTGTTAGACACTTACAGTCTTGATTTCTTATAGCTTAGATTCTAATACAGTTTATAGGGGAAGGGTAATATTTTGAATGGATGATCCCTTAAAGCAACAGAAATTAAAGCATTTTTTCTTTCTCTAATTGATTTCATAATTATAGAACTATATGATTTCACAGAGTTCCATTTGTGTGGAACGACACAGTCGACTAACATCAAAATTACTGGAAAATCCCAGAGGAGATGGATATATTCCATACTTATCAACTTTTCTCATTTTTATCAAAGAATTGGCTGTTTCTCCTCTTTTTATGAGAAAAACAATACAGCCTTTGTTTCTATTGCTTTCCCCCCTAATTCAGATTCTATAATCATAAATTCAAAATGTGGGCAGATTTGAAAGTGGATTATGAAGAAAAAGCTTTAGCATAAACAAAAGAAAGATGGAGTAAAATGTATGTCCGTCACTGCATGAGAAATGGTGTGACAAATACACGGTAATTTCGTCTAGAGAATGGTGGTAACTCAGAGCATTGCTGTCCACCTGAAAGAATATGTGAAGTAAAATATATTTAAAAGAAAACCCGTGCAAATGCAGTGTCCCTTCTGGATACAGCCGGAACAGTGTTCTGTTTGAATAATTTTATATCCTCTCCTAGAAATAAAATTTCTGCAAAGTTAAAGCAAAATGCTATTTTAAAAAATCTATGCATTGTTTAAGAAACTATAGATCTAATTTATTGTAAGATTTAGAATTAAAATTTAAGATCATCCAATAAAGTAAATTTGAATAAACAATATCCTTGAAAATTTAGATCAATGGTAAAATTTATATTTTTTGACTTTTAAACAAACAACAAACTGAGGCTGCAATGAAAACAGAAATGTCATTTCCTTCGGTAGCATTATTGGGAGAAAACTCAGAAATGACTATATCCCTATGCTAAGAGAATTTTTTTTTTTTTTTGGTCAAGTAGTTAAAAAAATCAATCTATATGTTCCTCCACTTTTCTAGGCTCAAATTTATTTTTTGCTGAGTGGTGCAAAATGGAAAATGGACATTTGCTTCTGGCACTGTGACCTTCCCCAGGCCCTGTCCATGCTGCCCTGTCTCATGTGGTGTATTTCTGGAACACACTTGTGATATAACCAGCAATCATTCTCCATAAACACTCAACTTGACAGCAAGTGAGAGTAAAGAAAAAGTCTCTCTTTCACATCAATGAAGAGTGCCACACTATAAACACATTTCCTTTTTTTGTAAGAGAGGTGATTTTTTAAAAGATTAATCATCTTTAAAAGATGGGCTACAGCTCAACACTGTTATTTTCCTTCTGGCTATACACATGAATACACTAATTTTTGTTTTAAAACCAATGGAGCTGATTTTTAAAAAGAAATCTATAGCTGTTCCATACGTTTTCCAGCTAAGACCCAGCATCAAACTTCCATATGTTTAAGAAAGCTATACCCTCCACCTGCGTACATACACACTCATACACATAAACACCCGATCCAACTCCACTGTTATCCACTGATGACTAAACCATTTGAGATAGGTTGGTGGGGGACAGGGGGGGAAGGGGCTGGGGAGGATTTTTTTTTTTTTACAATAGGCACGCATAATATTTACTGAACAAGACGTTTTGCTCTGTATTCTTTTAGCATGTGGGGGGACTCATCATTTTATTTAGACTTTATATGGCATGGGTTACTCAGTTCGCAGCAGAGGCACCTGCAGCAAATTAATTTGTTGTAGCACATTAATTATCTCATAGCTTCTATTTAGGCTGCAGCTGTTGCTATTATGTTAATAATATTTTTTATCACCACTGTATACAACAGGTTATGGCAATAATAGAAATATCTCTTTTTTTGCCCCCCCTCCCTGTTGTTTCCATGTTTCTGTGTCAGAAGGGAAGGCTGGGAGAAATTTAGGCAAATTAAGCCCCAAAGCACACTATAATTTTCTATTTCTGAACCGATTTGTGAGAGAATGGGTAACTGAAATTAGCAAAGAATCACCCCACACAAAGATGGCGCGTGCAGAATTTGTGAAAGCGAAAAAGAAGACGAAGGAGAAGCAACAGAGGGACGGAATACTGCAGTGCTGGGGTGGTGAGTGTTTGGATGGGGGCGGGGAAAATGCTGCAGTTTTCATGAAATAATAAGGTGGGGGAAAAAAGGCATACAAAGAGTAGGTTTTTCATTGTTTGTAAAATATAAACACAGATGAATTCTGTCTTTGGTTTGTTCATGCTTTTCACTCTGCACAGCAGGGATGTTCTTAAGAAGTTGCCCTCTGCGAAATTTCACTAAATGGGAACCGTGGACCCTGCATGATGGGATTATAATCACACCAGCCACTCCTTTTACATAATTTTTTGTTTAAGATCCAGTAAGACTCCCTGTTTTTAATATATATAAAGCAATAGACCTGGATATGTCGATAAACTGAGGGTTTGTGTCCCTATAGCCTAGTGCAAGCTAAAACAAAAAACCAGTGGTATCACATCTACAAATCTCAATGGATTCAAAAACAATATGAAAATTTTTAGCTGACAAGAACATGTCTGCTGCCTGCAGTCCCTGCAATAGCTCACCATGTTGCCTACTAACCGAAAGATCAAAAATTATCGATTTCATGGCGCTGCGTGCTCTGGAAAGAAAAAGCTACTTTAAAATTTGCATTGTTTAAGAAAGGAGTTAAAAGAAAAGAATCATTTTTTTCCTGAACACTTTGGAATGTGAAAATGGCTTGTTTTAATCTTATCCATGATTTACTATAATTCTATTATTTTTAGCAGCTGGAGTCTAGAAATGATTTTTTTCGATGAATTTAGGATTTTGTCGCAGTATACATCTGCAGTCCCAGAATCCTCCGGTAAGTTAATCCTTCTTTCGATGGGAAACGCCTTTAACCTTCTTGTGAATGAAGTATCTGCAACCATTTTGAAATTTTTAATAGGTGTGTGTGTGTGTGTGTGTGTGTGTGTGTGTGTGTATTTGTGTATGTGTGTGTGTATGTTTGGGGGAGGTATGTCTCCAAAGCATGATTTCTTAGCAATGCAGCGGTGTTTGCCTTAGTTCTTAGAAACATTGAGAAACATATACCTTTGTGCTCTTTGAATATGATGGACGATGTCTCCATTGCTTCTCCTTACACCTTCTATGGTAGCCATTAAAATGTACTTCCTTAGTATGGCAGAGACTCTTGTGTCAAGCCAATGAAGGCCTGGAGAACACATAACTCCAAGCATGAAAAGTGTTCCTGGCATAGCTGAAGCGGCCATGAACATAACTACCACTGCTGCTGCCGCCGCCACCACCATGGACATCGCCTCCCACCACCTTCACTGCCCCCCCTCGTGCCGCAGTGCACACCAGATGCAAGCTTTCCATAGTGGCTCTCCGCCGAATTTGCCCAGTGGGTTCCTAGATGACTTCTGTGTGTAAGAATAGCCAACCATGTAGTCTGACAAGAGGTATTTGCAACTACTTAGTCTGTTCAGCTGGAAAGAAATCAAAAGATAACACTGAACCCTGAGATGATGGATTGCAAATCAAAAGCCCCAATCCATAAACAGCCCACTTGATGAACTGCTAAATGAAAAGCTGATTCTGATTTTTGTCCAGTGTTTGCAGGTTGTTGAAAAGAAATCTTTTTGAACGAGCCGAGCCTTCTTAGAGAGTCGGGAGTTATTGTTTATAAATGCATGGAATATTATTTAGTCTTACCTTTCTGCTGGGGGAGGATTCTTCCCAAGGAGATTCAGATTGTCCACAAGAGACCACACCCTCGTTTCACTGTTTTCTACTGTTTCTGTTTCTTTTCAAGGAGGGCTTCTTAACAATTCCAATTACACATTCATTTAAGGATCCTCATCAAAAGGAGCCAGGCATCCATTTCTCTCTAAAGGAAGCTCATTGTCTTAGTGTTCAATAAATGTTTAATTAGTGGATTTGATAGAGTTAACTGTCCCAAAAAGGAACGGGCCTTCTTTGCAATGCTGCCTTGATTAATGTTTCTGTCGGAAGTGCAAAAACAATCTGGGCATTTCTTTCTTTGCCTAAGGTGATTCAAAAGTATGTGTTTTAGTGAAGGGACGCTGTACCTTCAGGCTCCATGGAACCACTGCTGGATGTGCCAATGGTCTGAAATCATGACAGGTAATACTTCCTCTGTTAAACCAGCTGGAGACACTTTTGGTTTCCAGGAACACAGCCTGAAATTTAGAACCATTTGTCCTCTGCAGTTTCACAAAATGGATTAATTCACGTCAAACCCAAGTGGCTAGCTCTAGAAGGAAAAGGTGTAAAAAGATAACCAAGTGTTTTTTATGAAATATATTGCCCAAGGTCAATTTTTAAAAATCATTTTTACAAAATCACTTATTTCACTAACTCATCAGGTATTTTGATGCTTGTATTTCTTGTTGGTTTAATGTTAATATTTGTCTTCATTTCAGAGAAGTTATTCATCTCATATTTTTGGTGAGGCAATTGGAACAATTTCTATCTTGGGGATAAGCAAATAAAAATTCTGAGCAATTTGTTAAATTCAACTAATTCGTCTTAGTGCTAGTCACCCAGTAATTCTTCAGTACACTTAGATGTGATGGGAAAAATAGCTTGCTGCAAATTTTACATTTCCTTTACTAACATGTGTTTGCTTAAAGTATTAACTAGAGATTTTAAATATTAATTATAAATTTAGATTAAGATATCTAAATTATAGAAAAATGCTTCAATTATTTTGGCATCTAAATAGAGAAATACAAACCTAGAAGAGTTTTTATCCTTTAGATGTTCTAATGGTGCAGATATTTCTTAACCAGTTTTAATAGTGTGCCTTATTCAGCAAAACCAAACCAAACCTGAACACAGAAAAAGGAAACGTCTGTTAAAAAATTACTCTGATATTTATTAGTCATCTTATTTTAAATATATGACTTTAATCAAATCAACTGCATATTCTTTAACTGTGTACATAAACATTAAAATTGGGGATCAGTACCTGAAAAAATGCCATTTACACTTTTAAGTTTATATTAGAAACACTGCTTTGATGAAGTATCTTTTTCCTTTCGATCTGTTCAAATTATGACCAGATGGTTAACTGCAACCATCCTCTACTCTTAATTCTACAGAACTACTAGCAAAGACACAAATGAGAAAGTCATTGTAGACAATGGATCTCACTGAACATCATCTTAGTCTGTGGACTTTTCCCACTGCAGGGCCCCACGTATGCTATGGTGATAGACAGCAGTTAACATTACCACGGTATATAATAAAATATCTTTAAGATAGGGGGAAAAATTGAATTATTTAAAGAACATGTTGCCCCTGAAGCATAGCTATGCGTAAAACTACATAACCTACTCCATGAGTGAATGAGTAAGACGGTTTCCTGCCAGTACCTATGTATAAAGACCTATTGTTTGCATGCATTAATTACAGAGATAAAAGCCTCAAGATAACTTTGTTGCTTTTTGTACTCTCTCCATTGTTTTGGAGGAAAAATAAGCATACGACAACAGACTAGAGAAAGTGAATCGATCATAATTTTTTCAGCTTTGACAAATGCCAATCCTGCTGGATTACAATGGAGACATTTCCAAGGTAAATGAAGAACCAACTTCAACCTATTAAGACGAATTCGAAAATGTTTTTGAAGAATAGAAAATGCGTTTTTAAAAATTAGAAGCTGCCTAATCGATAGCTCTTTCCATAAACAACATACTTGGATTTCTTAAATAAGTGATACCCTATAAATGCACCTCCTCCGAAGAAAAATCCTCGCCACCACCACAAAAATCTATTGATACTTAGTAACAAAGTGGAACCAGATG